TTCAGCATAGTTGTTCAGATCGCCTCCACTGGATCCCGCGATCCGTGCTTCTAGCGTCACCTGACGACGATGATGATGTCCTTGGCAACCGCTCATCTTCTCCTGACAACTTGACCTCCGCACTTGTCGAGCTCACTTCTTCATAACAGACTGCCGCTAATTCCTCAACAGCCGTCGAGTCCTCACCAACTGCCTTGGCGGAGCAGCCTGGGACATCTTTCTTGGCGGATTCTGGTCTTGTTCTTTCCTCGCCACAGCCCGTTGCACCTCCTCACCGGCATGGCGATCGTGAGCGAGCTCGGCCACGACATCTTGAGGCTTACGACACCATATACAACTCCCATGTTACGTCTACTCCCACTCCACAGGGAAGCCCCACTCCTTTTGTTACTTATCCCTTGGCTGCATACGTTTCATATGATCATGTTAATTCCAATTATTCCTCATTTTTTGCTACTGTGAACTTACATATTGAGCCGTGAAATTTCCCTGAGGCCTTTCAAGATCCCCGATGGCGGGAAGCAATGCTCAAGGAGATTCGCGCTCTCCAGCAAAATGGGACTTGGACCCTCGTTGATCTACCCCCTGGTAAGCGCGCCATTGCGTGTAAATGGGTGTGCAAGATCAAGTTTTATCATGATTGCAGCATTGAGCGCTTTAAGGCGCGTCTGGTCGCGAAAGGCTTTACTCAAATCGAAGTCATTGACTTCAACAATACATTTGCCCCGGTCGCCAAGCTCGTTACCGTCCGTTGTCTCCTTGCTATTGCTGTTAGCCGGGGTTGGACTTTACATCAGCTGGAGGTCAACAACGCCTTCCTCCACGGTGATCTTGAGGAGGAGGTATACATGAAGATCCCACAGGGGTTTGCTGCGCCTGGTGATACGCGTGTGTGTCGGCTCCATAAGTCCTTATATGGACTCTGCCAGGCCTCGCGTAATTGGTACCATAAGTTCACAAGTGCTCTTTGCTCCCTTGGTTTTCGTGCCTCCCCAGCTAACCATTCTCTGTTCATCTTTCGCCGGGGGAGCAATTTTGTCGTTGCATTGATCTATGTCGATGACGTTCTGCTCACTGGCAACGACTCGGGGTTTATATCTCATGTCAAGACCTTCTTGGATCAGCAATTTAGCATCAAGGATTTGGGTCCCCTTCGTTATTTTCTGGGCGTGGAATTCGCCCGTACTCATGATGGCGTGGCTGTTTGTCAATGCAAATACGCTCTCGATATTCTTGAAGATGCAGTTGTTGGTGCCGCTCGCCCCAGTGCTTTCCCATTCGAGCAAAATCACCACTTGACACGTCCATCTGCAGTTGATGAGGTTTTGGCTGATCCTTCGGAGTACCGCCGCCTAGTCGGCTGTCTTCTCTACTTGAAAGTTATGCGCCCTGATCTTACCTGCGACGTGAATATACTCAGCCAGTTTGTTAGTTCCCTGAGCCTGGCTCATATGGATGCTGCCTTGCGGATCCTTCGGTACCTCAAGTCGAGTCCTAGTCAAGGCCTTTTCTTCCCAGTGAGTAATGATCTTACTCTCACTGCCTTCTGTGATGCTGATTTGGGTGGTTGTGAAAGCACCCGTCGGTCTACTACTGGTTACGTTGTGTTTCTGGGTGGTGTTCCCATTTCTTGGCGCACTAAGAAACGTGTTATTTCGCGTTCCTCTGCAGAGGCGGAGTATCGCGCCATGGCTAGCACTATCAGTGAGCTACTTTTGCTTCGATGGTTGCTTGGTGAATTAGGGGTGCCCCAGCGTCGGTCCAATCCTCTATACTATGATAGTCAGGGTGCTCTTCATATAGCTGCCAATCCTGTATTCCACGAGCGCACCAAGCACGTGGAAATGGACTTTTACTTTGTCCGGGAACGGGTTCAGTCTGGTGATATCCATCCACTTAAGGTAAGTACGCATCTAAAATCGCAGATATCTTTACTAAAGGGCTAGGTGCGTATCGCTTTTATTTTCTGTTGTCCAAGCTGCACATTCGGAATATTCACGCTCTACCTTGCGGGGGAGTGTTGGACAGTAGCAAGGCGGGTCAGCTACTTCCGCCGACTCGGCCCATCATTGCAGCCCATGCGGCCCATGCAGACACACAAAAGGCCACATACAAGTCTCACGAGAACAAGGATCTTGGTAGTCTAACCCTAGTTGAGTGTTGCAAAGGGTTATATATTCATTGTAAAGGCTACGGCCGAACTTGACACAGTAATCATTAATATCATAGTGGGAGAGTGTTGAAACTCTCCCGTGGACTAGTCCCGACACACCGTCGGGGATACCACGTAAAACCTCGTCTTCTCCTTTTACGCTTACCTAGTCTAGGTCGATTTCTTAGTTAGTGTTAGGACAAAAAAGGGCAAAGGCGCGAAATTATCAATCTATCCTTTTTTGTTGAGAATTATTATGGGCCTTAGATCATTAGAAGGTAAACTAGATGGATGGTGGATGATGAGATTTTCTAGGACTCTGTATTATACTGGTTTTGCACCATATTCTTTCACAATTAAAAATATTAGTATCGGGATGCAATCTTATATTGGAGAAAGAAGGGGAAAATATTTTGTATAACTGTTCATATAACTTCATTAGCACGATATCTTTTACGGAGGTGTTTAAAAACAAATTCCTGTGAATTTCGCCCTAAATTAATATCAATAAATGGTATTAAAACTAAAGGTTTGAATGTCTGGATTCGTGGAAAATTCTCTCGTATACAAGTCTCTACCGCCCCGTTTGGATTAAGAATTTTAAAACGCAGGATTTGAAACCCAAATCTCTCATTAAAGACCTGGGGAATTTTGGGTGTGGGATTTGGCACAAATCTGCGTTTGGCAATGCATTAGAGATTTAGCCCAACTTAGCCCAATTACACATTTACCCCCTTCTTCTTTCCTCTTCTTCATCTCATCTCCGCCCCTTAATCTCCTTTGCCAATCGTCAGATCCGGCCGGGGATGAGAACCCCACAAGAGAAAGAGAGATAGACAGCGCCGGCGATCCGATGCGGACATGGGACACTCAATAGTAGATCATCGAAAGCCCATAAAACCTGGAAACCCATATTTGGTTCCCGCTGCCCGGCGGGTCAAGTCCCCCGAAACAATCGCTACCCTTTCCCTCCGACCTTGAGCTTCATGACCTCGCAGACTCTACATACCGTCGACCCACCCACAAAATCGAGTTTTAAACTGAGGGTCAACCACGTTGACTTTAGCACAGGCATCGCCGGACCAATCAGAGGCGATGAAGAACTCGGGGTTGGGGATGACGTTTATGTGAAGCGGATGGGGGAGGCGAGCTCCGATGGGAGTAGTGTTGTGGCAGCCGGCAGAGTCTTCGCCAAATCACCCTCGGCGCCAGCTCCCCTAACCTCACCACGACTGATGTCAGAATCAGTCCCCACCAAGCAAGAGTGCTGACGAGATGAAGAACATCTAGAATTGACGACAATCCAGCAAATTCGAGGACCCGTCTCAAGCTACACTGGCGAGGTTGTGGGTGATGGGATTCCCGATCGGATCTCAATAGGTAGATTTTGATCGTTTTCGAAGGAGGAGAGAAGAAGGAGAATCGGTTGTGAGGGAGACGTCGATGACGGAGAGACTGTGGGTACGGCAAGGGTGAAGGAAGAAAGAAAGGTTTAGAAAAGAGCCATAAAAAATGAGTGGTTGTGAAATAGCTAGTCCCTATCAGCTATTTTAAAAACCTGCATTTGAGAGATTTGAAATCTCTGATGCTCACAATCCCTCATCTTCCCAAACGCATAATTGTATTAAAATCCTGCATAATGAGAGATTCTTTTAAAATACCTCATAGATCCCTCACTACAAACCTTTATCCAAACGACCCCTACATAGTTTTATTAGTATGAGGTATTTGGAGAGGTGCACAAAAATAAAATTTTGTATGGGTACTTCCTAAAAGTTCAGTATTTGCAAAACTGTACCCAACTGGTATCCGGCGTGAAAAACTTCATACCATACCCTAAACGGTAGAAAGTTTTATAGGTATGAAACGCTTTGAATCACGATTAAACCACGATCTCGACAGAAAATACACTACCATTGAATTTTTCAGTATAATCTTTGGTAAGATTTTACAATTTTACAACTCCATGCCCGCAAAGATGAATCTTTGCAGATAACAACACCCAATTCGCACCAAACTGTAGTGGGCAGCTTTTACTGACTAACCACTGCGGTGCAAATTGTGGATAGCATAATTATGATTGTGTTGATGTGGTTAACCATATAATGTGAGGTGGGTAACACAACCAGCCCAATTTCCACCCCTATATATATAGTTATATACAAATGGCAAACCTAACACCTCTAGGTAATTTATTCAAAAACTCAAGATATTAACATATGATCACTTCTACTGTGTTTTAAAATATTGGCGTTTCAAGGTACAAATTGAAGTTATACCATAACTTTAAATCATAAATGTACAAGTTCAGGTGGTAACATTAGGGAAGTTGTATCATAATTTAAAGGTACGAATTTAGTTTGTACCATAGAGAGATTTTGTACAAAAATGTATATATACAACCTGAAATTTTATTATAACGTTAAAAGTACAACTTCAATTTGTAACATAAACACAAAAAAACTAAAACACTAATACTTTTAAGCATTGTAAAATTCCCCTCGACATAGAGCTTGACGTACTAACAGATGGGAACCTTACTCATATATTTAACTAGTTTAAAAATAGTATTTTATTTTGTGAAAAAAAAAAATTTGTATTCTTTAAATCAAAGTAAAGTGGGAAACAATTGTGAATAGATGTTTTTTCTTTTAGCAAATGGTGGAAAAAAAATTTATTTTTAAATGAATAGATGGTCTCTTTTAGCAAATAGCCACCACCTAATTCTCCACTCACCTATACGGTATACCAAATTACAAATACAAAGCCCTCTATAGCCTCATTTCTCGTCCCTATATATATTTTCCAAACCACACAAATAATTTCCTCGATCTCCACAAACCCACCAATGGCAGCGATCCCAATCGTCTTCTCCGAGCTCTACATCGTCGCCAAATTTTTCCTCAACCTCCTCCTTCTCAAACTGATCACCACCCTACCTCTCGTCCGCTCCCCGGACAGCAGGTCCGGCGTCGCCTCCGCCACCGACGAAGACCGCCGCCGCCGCCTGATCGACGAGAAGTACCCTCATTTCTACTACCACCACGAGCGGCGGGGACTGCGGACGGAATCATCGCCGTCACAAGAAGATTGTGCGGTGTGCCTGTGCGAGTTCGAGAAAGGGGACGCCGTCAGGGAACTGGGGTGCCGGCACACGTTTCACAAGGGTTGCGTCGACACGTGGTTCGCAATGGGAGCGAGGAAGACGAGGGCGAAAGCGTCGGCGGCGGCGATGATGATGATGACGTGCCCGCTCTGCCGGAGCGGAGTCTTGCAGCCGGGAGATTCGAACCGCCGATGGCGGCGTGCGGATGAGGTGGGGCCCACCAACGACGGTGATAGTGATGAGAGCTTGGACTGGGGACAGCAACAATTCTTTTCATTGCTCTCCACGTTACGCGGTGATTATTATCGCCAGATTATTATTAATCAGTGAAATTTTCCACGCAATTACTGCTCTTTTCTCTCTTTTTTCCTCCTTTCCGGTTTCCAGAGAGATAATTCGGGTCGGTTTGACCCGTTAATCGACAACTAATACGAATGACTGGTCTAATTGACAGTTATGGTTAATTTGTATAAAAATAGGTCCAGGTAAGAGTTGAGATTCGAGTTTCGCTCGATTTTATGAATATTATGAACACTAGTGAATTTCAACAATCAAATCCAACAAATTCCAACAAAATTAAATGTAAATTCTAACATACTAATAAGAATCGCGAACGAAATTGAGGTTTGAATATAGAATAATTTGTAATAATTGATTTAGGGGTCGTTTGGAATTTTGGATGCAACATTTCGACGAGACATTTCGACTCAATTGTCTTATTTTGCATCAATTTGGATTGACGGAGAGAGGGACAAAACATTGTGTAACGATACATATAATTATGAAATGAGACATCAAATTACCTCATTTTAGAAACCACCATCTTAATCGTACTTAGTAAATTTAAATACACTCCAATAAACTTTCTAATGAACCATCAAGCACTCTAGCAAACTTCATTTGAACTCTAGTAAAATCATTTGGATGAGGAATTGTAACGGATCAATTTGACACAATTGTCTTGTTTTGAGACAATTGTACCAAATTGCCTCGTTTGTCAGCAAAAAAATTTCGATGGATCAATCTGCTTGAGGTATTTTGAATTGATCCGTTTTCAGTCAATTTCAATTACCTGGGATGGGGCAGGTAATTCGAATTGACTCGTTTTAATTGTCTCGTTTGTAAAACGAGATAATTGATCAAATTGACTCATTTCTAAATTGATCCATCCAAACTACACAAAATAAATCTGAACGAGCCGTATGTATATGTAGTTAATTCCAAAGTGTAGTGAGTTCAACAATTCTCGTAAACCTCCCATTATGGCATTTTACCTTTTTGTTTCTCCTCATAAAGGGATATGTATTTCCACCAAAATAATAAAAAAGGGGATATGTATGGTATAATGGTATGGATCTCAAACTTGGATTTTATTTGGAGCAAGAAGACGCAAAGACACAGGTAACAGACTGGAGACGTGTTGTTTTGGTTTGTGGGAGTTTGGTCCCATCTGAATATCTTCTTGTCGGCCCAAAGAGAAAGTTGGTCCACGACCTCCTTTCGTCTTTGCTATTTGTTTCTATTAGTCATAGATGAAAAGGGGGCTACAAATTTTGAAGGTAAAAGAAATTTGAATTATGACAGTCAATTCGATGAGATAAAAAAAAATGTATCAAATATTTATTTCTAACTACATTTTGGAAGTTAACGTTATTAGAAACTACAACGCATCTCAATGTTTTTTTTAAATAAATGGTTGACAGAATTAGTAGATCGTTTAGATGAGAAATTGTAAAGTATCAATTTGATCTAACTGTTTTGAGATAATTAGATCAATGTTGCTTGCAAAATTTTTGGATGTATAGATCGATTTGACTTGGGGAACTTTAGATTTATCTGTTTTGAGTCGATTCAAATTATCTGGGGGAACCAAATAATTAGAATTGACTCGTTACAAATGACCGAGACTATGAATCAAATGATTTCGTTTATGAATTGACCTAACCAAACAATTCCTATCGGTTCTTTTCTCATTTTGCAAGGCAATGAATTAAAGAGGGGTCGAAGACAAGGGAATATATGTTAGGTACGTATTTGCTTTTGCTTAGGGGTGTACCTGAGTTTACGTTGGACAGAAGTATACTTCAATTCAAATAAAGTACTAGAAATGTAAACTGAAGCAATGGTTGGGACGATTAGTGATTATCGTTGTCTGTTGTGTGGCACAGAGCAGGGAAAACATGAACAATTTTTTCCCCCCAACTGTTCATACTCTTATAATGTGCTAAAAGTTGTCTCCAAATGCTGCAAGTTGCCAGTCCTCACTCCTCAGGTGACTGTTTGAAAGGATATCTTAATTGGGCGATTCCCTGGTAGACGCACAAAACTATGGGGTTGCGGTGTGGATAGGGATGGCAATTTTGTGGGTCACTTTCTAGAAGGCTCATGAAATTATGGAGGCAGTGAGTAGTCAACACTCAAAACTATGGAGGTTGCGGTGTGGATAGAGATGGCAATTTTGAGTTGACTTGTTGGATTCGATTTGTTTGCTTGTTTGGTTAAGTATTTAAAAGTTATTTTTTAGAATTTGATATATAATTTCTTCGAACTGTATATTTGAATCACAAATTATAATTACTTAAGAGCACAAATTAATATAATTTACATTGCAGACTACTCCAATTCCATCATTACTGACAACGTCCGGCTGTCTCCGGTGGAACCCCTTACCACTTCCTCTTTGTATTGTCGGTGAAGGCTGTATTATTTGAAACTTTGTCTTCCCACGGTGGCCGGAAAAAGTTGAGGAAAAGCAAATGACGGTGAAGAACTTAGATTAGAAAAGGCGCAACTTTAGGTTAGAAAACAAAACAAAAAAATAAACAGTTAAATAAAATAATAAATGATCATATTATTCCTATTTTTTTAAACATACCAAGTTATACATATTAATTATAAATATAATGTCAATCATTGGACCATTTCTCGATTGATTCGTGTTATCCTTGCTTATGGACCATATTAATTTTCTTTGTATCGTTCCTAGTGACTCGATTAGATGATCAAGAAATCCTCATTGGTCACCTGATCTCCTCTAAAAAACAACCTGAAAACCAAAGTAGTCCAGCAGCCAACCATCTCACGGCAGAGGTTTATTCTTGAATTGTTTATTCCGCCATCGATCAATAAATGCAGTACGTAGTAGTGTTGGTTCTCGTTGAAAGAGGCCACCTCATCTTACACTTTGAATTCCAATCGCATTTACATCAGCTGGATGTAAATAACGCTTTTCTTCATGGTGATCTTGAGGAAGAAGTTTACATGCGGATGCCACCTGGTTTTTCTGTACCTGGCGATACACGTGTTTGTCGGCTCCATAAGTCCATTTATGGTCTACGACAGGCTTCACGGAACTGGTATCATAAGTTCACTGCATCTCTATGTGCTCTGGGTTTCCGATCTTCTCCGGCAGACCACTCACTCTTTATTTTTCGCCGGGGGAGCACGTTTGTCGTCGCACTCATCTATGTGGACGACGTCATTCTGACTGGTAATGATCTATCTTTCATCAATAAAGTCAAGCAGCACTTAGATGAGCAGTTCAGTATCAAGGACCTTGGTCCACTTCGATATTTCCTGGGTATGGAGTTTGCTCGCACTCGTGATGGCGTTGTTCTCTGTCAGCGAAAATATACACTGGATATTCTTGAGGATGTTGGAGTTGAAGGAGCTCGGCCCAGTTCTTTTCCCGTTGAGCAAAATCATTATTTGACTCGTTCGGGCACTGACGATGACCTCCTGCTCGATCCCTCACCGTACCGTCGCTTGGTTGGGAGGCTACTCTACCTCACTGTTACTCGGCCCGCCATTACCTATGGGGTCAATGTCCTAATTCAGTTTGTCAACTCGCCTACTCAGGCGCATATGGATGCTGCTCTTCGCATATTGCGCTACCTCAAGCGCTCCCCTGGTCAAGGTTTATTCTTTCCTACCTCTAACGACATGACACTTACTGCTTTTTGTGATGCAGACTGGTGAGGCTGCGAGAGTAGTCGTCGTTCCACTACAGGTTATTTTGTCACTCTTGGTGGCGCTCCCATTTCTTGGGGGCACTAAGAAACACCGTGTTGTTGCACGATCCTCTGCCGAGGCAGAATATCGTGCCATGGCTAGTGCTGTCAGCGAGATAATTTGGTTGCGCTGGCTGCTTACAGAACTTGGTGTTCCTCAGAGTCGTTCTACTCCACTTTATTGCGACAATCAGGCTGCACTTCATATTGCTGCCAATCCGGTGTTTCATGAGCGCACTAAACATGTGGAGATGGATTGCTATTTTTTTAGAGAGCGAGTTCAGTCTAGTGATATCTTGCCTCTCAAAGTGAGTTCTCATTTTCAGCTCGCCGACATCTTCACCAAAGGACTCGGCGTTGAACGCTTCCACTTTCTACTCTCCAAGCTGGGTGTTCGTAACCTTCACGCACCAGCTTGTGGGGGAGTATTGGACCTGACCGAGACATAGCCCACGTCCACACATGCGGCCCATGCACGGCCTTTCTCTGCGGCCATTCATGTACCCTACGTGGACAAGGATTGTCAGAATATAACCCTAGTTGCTAGTTGTAGGGGTTATAAAAGCACTGTACACGGCTATGGCCGATTATCACTGAAAACCTAATAACAACAGTAGCTGGAGAGATTCCAAACACTCCCGTGGATTAGTCCCGACTCGTCGGGGATACCACGTTAAACCGTTGTCTTCTTTGATTTTCCGCACGCGTTTTACTCAATTTCTCAGTATAGTGTGGTAAATTGATTTTACCATGTGGTATAGTGTGGTAGTTTGATTTTACCATGCCATACCATGTGGTATAGTGTGGTAATTTGATTTTACCATGCCATACCATGTGGTATAGTGTGATAGGTTGGAAGTTCTGTGTGATAATTGAGTTTACATTTGCCATACCATATGGTATAGTGTTGTAATTTATTTTTATCATGCCATACCATGTGGTAAAATATGATATTTTGGAAGTGGCATGTGTTGTCCTGTGTGGTAATTGATTTTACAGTGCATTACCATGTGGTAAAATGTGGTAATTTGGAAGTTAAATGTTAGGGTTCTGTGTTATAATTTATTTTACCATGCCATACCATATGGTATAGTGTGGTAATTTAATTTTACCATGCCATACCATGTGGTATAGTGTGGTAGTTTGATTTTACCATGTCATACCATATGGTATAGTGTGGTAATTTGATTTTACCATGCCATACCATGTGGTATAGTGTGGTAGTTTGATTTTACCATGCCATACCATATGGTATAGTGTGGTAATTGATTTTACCATGCCATACCATATGGTATAGTGTGGTAATTTGATTTTACCATGCCATACCATATGGTATAGTGTGGTAGTTTGGAAGTTCTGTGTGGTTAACTGATTTTACATTGCCATACCATGTGGTAAAATGTGGTAATTTGGGAATTAAGAACACATGTTAAGTATTTGCTAACATAATAAAAAACAGAACATTTCACTTAGTCATAATACACACCATAATAAGTTGTTTCATACCATCCTACTAATAAAAATGAAGTGGCTACTGAACATTGTGAGTTTGTTCTCAAAAGCTTACTTATACCCTCCTACTACTTAACACAAACCATAATAGAATTTTCATCTCCTTTCTTTCAAAACTTCCTCTTGTTCTTCTTGTTGCAGTACTTTGTTGCTTCCTTCATGATCCTTTCGCGTTCAAGATTGTCTTCATCAAGAATGATGTCCAACATCAGGCACTCCCTTTCTTCATTTATGAGATCAATCCTCTTCCAGTCTTTGGTCAGGGCACTGTTGTACTTACCTTCCCAGTGTCTCATCCACCTGATGATGTACATCCCACATGACTTGTCATCTGGTTGTGTAACCTTTTCGAGGTTGAACCAGGTAAACCTCTCCCACTTTACTGTCTTGTCTGCAAACTGTGTGTTCATGTAGTTGATTGCGTACTTGACAACCCTCTCTGCCATTGGTTTGTAGTATTCTTTAAAATCTTTGTGACGGATACTGTCGAGTACTTCAAATCTCCCTGCTTTGATGTTGACACAAATCATGATGTAGTGCTTGTTATCACAGTAAGGGAAGAACCACTGCAAAATAATTTTACCACAGTATACCATATGGTAAGCACTTGCCATATAAGTGATGAATAGTAAGTTAAGAACCATTCCAAACTAATTTTACCACTATATACCATATGGTAACCACTGCAAACTAATTTTACCACTATATACCATATGGTAACCACTGCAAAAATTGTGGTGAGATACTTACAAGGTTACATTCTGTGAAGCTGAGGTTTTTTGCCCATTCTTTGTTGGTGATGTCCAAGTCCACTTTGTCGTAGTAATCGTCTGGAGTTAGTACAGGATTGCCACTATCAATGTCCAGTTGGCAGTCACCCTGAAAGTTGTGGTTGTTATTATGTGTTTTATATATGTGTTGTCTAAGAACTATTGACAGAATATGGGTGGGTTTACTTACTGCCAAAGATGAATCGAAGAACCACCTTTTGAATTTTCCTTTTTTTGCTTCATTCCTGTTCATTACATCTCCATACCAGTCGATGACATCAGATGTGATTTTACAGCGAATGTCAATCGACTGTACTGACTCCCTTTTCAGCAAGAATGTTCCATCCTTCCATTTAAACCTTATCTCATCACTGTATAAAAGCACATCACAACAGGACAGATGGTTTACTTTAATTTATCACATCAAACAATAGGTTACCACAACAAAACCATAGCTTACCACATCTTACCATATGGTAATAAGTAAAACACAACAGCTTACCACATCTTACCATATGGTAATAAGTACAATACAACAAGAGTTATGGTTTAATCCATTCTTGAACAACAAACCTTAGCTTACCACATCATACCATATGGTATTAAACTAAAACAAAACAGGACTTGTGCATTACTACATTTTGTAACATTAAACCATAGATTTATCTAATTTTACCATATCTTACCATATTTTACCATATGGTAACAAACTAGATCACTACAGTAACATCATATAACAGTAGAAGTTTTAAGATGATGACTTACCTCTTGACAAATTTCTTGTTTTTGCATCTTATGTACTCCAGGATGTTGCTCAACATATCATCAGGTGTTGTTTGTGTTGGTGTAGACCATTCAACTGGTAATCTTTGTGATTGTGGAGCAACTGGTTCAACAGTTGGAGAATTCAGGTCCTCTAGGTAAGCATCTATGCATTCACGCAC